CATGTTAGCTCAGGAATTCTGGGAGTTGGAAGTCCACAAGTCTTAAACTTGCCAAGTTGGAAGACCCTTGATCTATTCTATCTAATCTATTTCTCTGTCTTTCTCTCTATCTATTCTACCTCTCTTTATCTATCTATCTATTCCAGGGGTCTTCAAACTTGACAGCTTTAAGACTTGTGGACTTCAACTCCAAGAATTCCTCCTTCAGTCATGTTAGCTCAGGAATTCTGGCAGTTGAAGGCCAGAAGTCTTAAACCTGCCAAGTTGGAAGACCCTTGGGCCAGATGTTCAGGAGATCCTCAAATAAAGTACTCAGCATGTCCAGATAGGGTTGGCAAACCTCTGCGTGAAACCCTACAGAGATCTGGATCAAATGGAGCAAGGGCTTGGGCTACTACTACGGGCTCCTAAGAAAGGACCATGCCACGCATTGCTTAACTCTGGTAGATGCAAAAACCATCTATAGCCAACATGACTTACTGAAATCAGCTGGGTTATGGTAGGTGGGACAATGCAGGCCAAGCCCCTTTAGATACGGGATGAGGTTGGAGACAGCTCCCTTGAAGATACATTGACCTTGGCTGAGGATGTAGAGCTGGAAAGAAAGAAGAAGGGGGGAGAAAGTGCGAATCCTGAGTGCAATAAGAGATGTGTCACACGGGATGCTCAAATCAAAGAGTTGCTAAAATGGTGAACTCCTGCCCCAGATATTCTGAGCCCTACAGGCATCCTTCTGCCATTTGGGCACCATCTTGCTCGATTAAGAGAGTTGGTTCCTGCGAGTCTCGCAGGCAGCCTCACCTTGTCAAACTTTTCAAAGAGCTTAGCGCTGGGCTGGTGGATGGTGCAGATGATGGTGCGGCCCCCTTGGGCCAAGGATTTCAGGAGGGAGACCACCTGGAAGCAGGACGTGCTATCCAGTCCACTGGAGAGGCAGAGAAAGAGAGAACAAGGGACATTTGCAACCTTTGTGTTTCCACTGTGCATTTCTATAACAATCATTCTTTTTCCCTTGTCTTGGGAAAGTTGGGTTTTTAAAAAAGCGTTTGACTCTGACAGTGGACTCCAAGCATTCTTGATTTCTTCTACAAGTTCTTCTCTACCCATTGGTCTGGTCCTGCTTCAACATCCCACCAATTTCTTGGAGGATTCCCACCAATGTTCTGCAAGATCAAACAAGGCCCAGAGACAAGAGGAAAGGGTCTCAGTCCTCCCCTAGATATAGGCAGGAACCAGAGGTAGGGTCTGTCGCTTACCTGGTGGGCTCGTCAAAAAACATGACTGGAGGATTGTTGACCAACTCAAGGGCGATGGCAAGTCGCTTGCGTTGTCCTCCAGAGAGAGCGGAGGAGCGAGTATGGGCACATTCCAGGAGTCCCAAGGCAGTCAAGATCTCATTCACCTGATCGCCAGAAAAGAATTCCCATGAGAAATGGGCCATGATCCTTCCTTTAGGCCAGGGGTCCTCAAACTTGACAGCTTTAAGACTTGTGGACTTCAATTCCAGAATTCCTCCTCCAGTCATGTTAGCTCAGGAATTCTGGGAGTTGAAGTCCACAAGTCTTAAAACTTGTCAAGTTTGAAGAGCCTTGCTTTAGGCCAACGTTTCTTAGTAACTTTAAGAACTGTGGACTTCAACTCCCAGAATTCCTCAGCCAGCAAGAGGAAGCTATTGACTCACTGGATCTGTGGATTTCTGGAGTTGAAACCCACCCATCTTAAAGACACTGGTCCATTGGATTTGTTGACTTCTGAGAGTTGATGTCCACTCATCCTGAATTTACTAAATTTGACGAATACAGTGTCACGAAGTACATCTCAACAAAAGTAGATCAATTCAAGTCAAACTCCAGTCCAGTGGGACATCTACTGAGTGATATAATTTCAGCTTCTCACCTGTCCTTATTCCATCTCTTAGATGGAAAGCCATGAGGACCCCTGATTCAGCCCAGACCTCCTCAGCAGATGTTACATTTACTACTTTGGGAACAGCCCACCTTGCCAATGATGGTCTTAACTTAGCTTAACTTAGCAATGCATTGGCTGCAAATCGAGCCCTTCTCAGATGAGGAAGCTGAAGAGATGGGAGAACATCCATCTGTCCATTTGCTGGGAAACCAGCCAGAAAGGGCTTCGTTGCATGGTTGAATGTCCCACCTCTGCTTCTTGAGTTTTCAAAGACAACCAAAAATGCCAACTTACCAGCTCCTTCTTCACTTCTTGCTTCTCATTCAGTTTCAAGTTGGCTGAACCCTGAGTGGAGAAAAAGAAAGATTCTCATTCTTTGCTTCTAGACTTACTGGGACAACTGGTTTTGAAAGCCCTGGGATCATCATCCTTTTTTCTGGAGGTGAGCAGCCTTCTAATGGTGGGGCACTCAGTCTCTTCATCCCATCCGTTGAAGGTCCCTATTGAATTCCCTTCCCGGGGCTGCAACCTTTCCTCCACTCACCATCATGGCCTCCCTCACGGTGAGATGGGGCATCAACATGTCGTCCTGCATAATGTAGCACGACATCTTACGGAAAGTGCGCAGTTCCCTTGGATGTCCGTTCACCAAAATTTGGCCTTTCATGCCCGTTTCCCTGAGAGTAAAGAAACACAGAAGGTTGCCGGTTGAAGATCTAATGCTCCTTAGAACTGGGGTGTGCAGCCTTGGCAACGTTAAGGTTTGTGGACTTCAACTCCCAGAATTCCCTAGGGCAGCCAGTCCTGGAAGCTGAAATCCACAAGTCTTAATGTTGCCGAGGTTGGACACCTCTGCCTTAGAAGGTTCTTAAAACTTAATTGCCTTGGATCCGGATTTCCTGACTTTGGCAATTTCCAGCTATATGGACTTCAACTCCCAGATTTCCACAACCGGCACCGCCATTACTGAGAATTCTGGGATTGAACACTGGTTTTAGAAGAGCGTAAACATTTTGCTCATTTCTTCATTCATTGGCTAGAATTTATTGTTGGGTTTGGGGGACAGCAGAGAGAGGATACTGAGCAGGAAGATGAGGTGTCTCCCCTTCCACTAACTTCTGGAAGGTTTAAACAGGAAGTACAAAAAGGATGACTTTGGCAACAGAGTGGTTAATGCCCGGAATGTACTACTTGTTGTTATAGCCTCAAACCCCCAAAACTTTAACCTTAACAGCACTGCAAACCAGAACAACTAGACACAAGGACAGTTTTTTCCCAAACACCATCACTCTGCTAAACAAATAATTCCCTCAGCACTGGCCAGCTATTTACAAAGTCTGCATTACTATTACTATTAATCTTCTCATCACTTCTTATCACCCATCCCCTCGCACTTGTGACTGCATGACTGTAACTTTGTCACTTGTATCCTTATGATTTTTATGGACTGTTTCCTAGTATGATTTGATTGCTTATTGTACCCTATGACTATCATTAAGTGTTGTATCTTATGATTCTTGACTCTTGATGAATGTCTCTTTTCTTTTAGGTACACTGAGAGCATTTGCACCAAGACAAATTCCTTGTGTGTCCAATCACACTTGGCCAATAAAGAATTCTATTCTATTCTATTCTATTCTATTCTATTCTATTCTATTCTATTCTATTCTATTCTATTCTAATTCTATTCTTAAACTATCCCCTATTCACCTCACCCCATTCCTGAGAGGTCTGTAAGAGGTGTGCGTAAGTGCACAATTGTGCTTACCGTACCTGTCCTATTGTCCCCATTTATTTGTACCTATTTTCTGTATTCATACTCATGTTTATCGTTATACCTGTTATCTTGTAAGCGATTGACAAATCAAATCAAATCAAATCAATAAACTCAGAATTTGAGGTTCTCCAATTTATATCGCCATTATTCTGGGCAATGGGGCATCCAAGGATTGTACTAAATCAACCTGAAGATGTTGAAGAAGATTATCTGGTGGGCATTTGTCAGGATACGGGACCAAATCTTCCCATTAAAAATCAAGCTGTTTTATGCAAAGGAAGAATTTTTCTCACCGGTATCCAGCCAAGAGGTTCATCAAGGTGGATTTCCCAGCTCCAGAAGGTCCCATAATACCAATCAGTTCCCGGGGGCAAAATTTCCCAGAGAGACATTTCAGCAGGGTCTTGTATCCTGGAAAGAGATCGAGTGTTCTTGGTGAGCAAAGGGGGTGGGCTTTTCAATTCATTGATCATATCTTTCACCCAGCTGGTGGGACCCAGAAGAAGGATCTTCTCCCTGTGGAACATCATCCCTGTGGGAATAAGATTGGAAATAAAACATTATAGGTCTCCCTTCTTAAGGAGGTCCAAAAGGTGGGACGAAGAAGGACCTTCTCTGTAGTGGCTCCATCCCTGTAGAACAGCGGTCTTCAAACTTGACAGCTTTAAGACTTGTGGACTTCAACTCCCAGAATTCCTC